TGAATACTTTTCCACTGAATCATTTAAATAATATTTTAGATATTCTTGGTTCCAGTCCACAGTGCAAGGAATATTGCACGTTTCTCTATGACGGATATGGAAGATGGGTCAATGGGACTTGGTTTCCTTTCTTAAAACGTAAGTTTACGACCTGATGCGTATTTACAGTGCCCGACGTATAAAGAAGATCTTATCTATAAATAAACCCGTTGTCAATGTGTTTAACAGCAATATACAATACAAGTACACTAACAGACCGTACAACACCTACTGGTACAATAATATCCTATGGCGATTCACTGGCCCTTCGATTTGGAATTTCTATGGCCAGCAACAAAAATATTCGTGAAGTCTACGAACGATCCACATACCGATATAACTGGATCTATCCTGTTGGAAACGAACAGGTTTGACTGCGTTATTTAGTTAGTATTAACGAAACTCTTGAACATGCATCGGACCTTAGCAGCTAGAGGTCAGTCAATAGAAATTGGACATTGAACATTCGAAAATATGTATCATTTCACTTGATTATATATATCATTTCATGTGATTTCAGCATTGTAAAGAGGGGAAAATATCCCATTCACCAAGTCAACACATAGCTAAGTAGTGTATTTTCATCTATTAACTGTGAAGATGAAAATCAAAACCTTATTTCTCCGTAGTATATGTGGATCCTTGCTTGTTCTTTTGAGTTTTAAAAGGCGTCGTGTGGCAAAATCGCTAATCAGCCTATTGAACTGAAATTCTTATAAGCTAAATATTGGAATGTGACATTAGTTTTGTGTGTTGTGTGGTAAAGTGCTAATGAGTCCATGTRTTCTCTCCAAAAAGATGGGTTTTTAAAGGTGCATGTCAAAAAAGCTTTTTCATATAGAAAGCTGAAATTTCAGTTTTGGAGAGCCATTTTTTTCGTGTGAAATGTAAACACTGCATGACGGTCTAGTGGTTAAGCTGCTGGCCTCTCACCGCTGTGATCCGGGTTCGATTCCCGGGCACGGACTACATGTGAGTTTGAGTTTGTTTGATGTGTTGTTCTCTCCCTTGCCACGAGGAGTGTTGTGTGCTAAAATACTTAAAGTAGAGGTAGTGAGTGTGAGTGTTGAGTGTCCGCAGTAATTGGCTCAAAGCTGTTTCGGTGTCCCTGMCCAACTAGGGGCAAAGCTAATAAATTAAAAATTAAATTAAAAATTAAAATTATGACGTATGATTCCGCTTCTCATTATCTTCAGGTTGAGATACAAAGAAATGACGACTTGGATTTGGACATTGATCGAGTTGTTTCGTATATAAAGGAAGTCCTTGAGGAGCCACTTTACGATAGAGAGAATACTGCTTTGGTGCTTAACATCGGCTTACATTGTGTTATGTCTGTCAACTTCAGCTCGTATCAGATTCTTTTAGAAAAGGTTCTTGATTTACTTTTTGTGAATCAAACGCTCACAAGTAAAGGCAAGCTACAACCCAGATACAAAACTACGGTTATTTGGAAAACTACTACGCAGATCAGAAAAGAAAATGGAGACTCTTTGAATCTCACAGACGTTCGATTTTATACCACGCAGGTGAGTCACGTGATCGTGGAACTAGTGCGATTTTTAAACCGTATTTGCTCGTGATAAGCACCGGGGTGCGCTCGGGGGAGGCGCTTACATATTCGAGGATGGCGCTTATTTAAAACACGATATACGCACAGAATGGTTCAATTCCCAAACTGACCCAATAAATGACGAAGACAAGCGTATTATTTGGCCGGAAGTGAGAAGTTTATTGAACTGAATAATCAAGAAGGAAAAGTTGATAAACATTAACTTTAAATGCATCTAAAACGGTGCTTTATACCAACAGAATCTTTCTAAAATGCCAACAGTTGAATCCTTAAGTCTTGATTGGTCAATTGGATGCCCTTAAAGTTATAGAGTGGCTCATCACAACTTCAAGAAGCCAATCCGAAGCAAAATTTATTTTTTCCGCGGAAAATTTCGATAGTTGCTTGAAAAATAAAAAAAAGCTTGTATTCACGGAGCTAACATCTTTGAATATTGGAAAATGTCGCCAGTCAGTAAATTTGTTAATGTCGGTAGTCAGCAAATTTGGTTCAAATTTGTCGCTAGTCAGTAGTTATTTTGTCCATTTSTCGCTAGTCGGTTAACCCCATTCAGACCCTGTATTTGGACTAAAACCTCGAATAAGCGCTCCCTATCATAGTAGGGGGCGCTTATTCGGGGGAGGCGTTTATTAATTATTTTGGATCGAAGGGGGCGCTTATTCGGGGTAGGCGATTAATCGGGGGAAGCGCTTATTCGAGCAAATACGGTACTGCAGTTTGAATTCTCTTTGACATTGACACAAACCATAGTTTGTGATTAGTTACTGACTATGCACAGACTGACTTTGATTTTTGCATTTTTTTAGTCAAAATTTGTTAACATTTCTTTTAAAAAATTTAAAAATTGAATGATTTTTTTAATTAAAAATTTCCAGAGAGTCCTTCTTTATAATGCATATGCAACATGGAGAATGTGTAGAGCTGGGATTCCTGTGCTTGACGTTTTACCAGTAACTCTGTCATATCCTTCTGGACCAATTGATGTCGAACATTACCCAGATCATGTTTTCAAGCAAGCTGAGGACGCCTTGGCTGATTTCAAGAGATTTCACAACAACAAAAGCAATCGACTGACAAGAACTTGTATTTATACCTAGTCATTACTCTTATATCATTTTTTTTGTAGATTACGAGATTTTTGCATTACTTATGTAAAAATAAAATAAAATAAAACAAAATATTTACATCTTACCCTTTTTGTCTTCACTACTCAGCATTTGTCGTGTGATAATATAAAACGATAGAAGCAAGCAACCAACTAAAGTAAGCAAAGCAAGCAAAAGCAAAGTAACGTTCCCAGGGCTACTCTGCGCTCAGAAAAAAGCGAGAAGATTAGCCCTGGGAACGAGGTTCTTTGAACAGCAGGGACATTCTTTGAAGGTTCTTTGATTGTTGGTTGTAGAAACAAGATGGTGGATGTTCTGTTAGGTCATTTCGTCCATGACTAGGCCATACAGCTTAGCCAACATAAATTGACCACCTTTGATAGCTTGTCCAAGCCATTTTGATAAGTAGTCAAGAAGATATATCGCMAACAATATGCGAGGGTTTTCTGTAGCATTTCATGCTGGCGCTGCCGTCGCCATTGGATGCGTTGTTGTTTTAAAGCAGCGAAGCCAAGTTTCTTGTGAGGTTGACACATCTATCTATGGAGAACCAAAACGTCTATACAAGGCTTTTGTATCCTTTTCTTTCATTCAATGTTATGAACTATTTCTTCATGTTTAATATACTAATATTAAATCTTTGTTTGGGGCACCAAACATATAACTTATTTGCTGCCGCAGCGTAGCGAGCCTGAGCGAGCGAAGCGTAGGCAGCAACTCTAATCTGGAGAAGGGCAAAATTTCTCGATTTTAACCCAGGATGCAGTACGTTTTCATTAACCGTCTTCCTTTGCCCCACTATAAAAGGGTGAACAGTCCCGGATGTTCTTTCTCCCTTGTGTTTACATTAGCTTGTGTTCTTGAGGTGAGTCGAGTTTTGTTGTGTTATTTTGATTTTTCTTGCTGTTTTTATTATTCAGAGCACTAATTCAAACAAGTATTAACCTCGAGTTCATATTTTGTTTMAGTTTTATCATTATTCCGTTATTTCTCGATCGTCTCTTGACAAAGATAATGTGGTCTAAAGAGTTCTCGACAGTGAGTGCATCAAGGGCGCTAGATCACTGAAATTATGACCTATAAYGTCGAGATGTCGCTTAATTTATCCAACCTATGATAGTCGATAGTAAACAAAGTTTTACTTTTTCAAATGATCGTTACTCAAACGGTAGGGTTGCTGATTTTTGCGGTCTGGCCAGGAATAGCCTGCGTTACATCCAGTTTTATTTGCCACATAAAACCAGATGTAATGATATTCATCATTAAAATCACTTTGCACTGGCTTTTATTTGAATCAAATCATAGTAACTATGATCAAATGTAGTTCTTGAACCAAATATGATTGACGTCTGTGCCAAGAGTAGTTTTTATTGATTTTTATGGTATAAAAAATTTGAATCTGACACTTTTAAGTGTAAAAAAATTAAAATTTTTTGTAATAAATGATTTTGAATTATNATATTTGTGTCATTAGACCTTATATATTTGTGTCATTAGACCTTATATATTTGTGTCATTAGACCTTATATATTTGTGTCATTAGACCTTATATATTTGTGTCATTAGACCTTATATATTTGTGTCATTAGACCTTATATATTTGTGTCATTAGACCTTATATATTTGTGTCATTAGACCTTATATATTTGTGTCATTAGACCTTATATATTTGTGTCAGTAGACCTTATATATTTGTGCCATACCTTATATATTTGTGTCTAGACCTTATATATGAACCCAATACTTTACATATATAAACCAATGTTATAAATATACGCCATCATAGCATATATATTTGATGTGTTATAAATATTTATTGGTATACAATATTGTCCCATATGGCACCCCATATATTTTTGTTGAAGTTGTAAAAGAAATTTTAACAAACTGCCTTCTCAAATACTCTATTTTTAAAAAGTATGGACAACAGCTACGAATTTGGTAAATTAGTGAGTCATGTAAACTTTACTATTTCATATGCCAGTCATTAATTTTGTCTACATTTTTAGTGCTTTCTACAAAAATCAAATCTACTCCAAGACCAATGTCAAACCACTTCTGAGAAACACATCTCACAACTCACAAAATGTCATCTATTGCAGTGACTGTGCATTCCACTCTGGTGGGCTATATATGTAATTACGCGTTGTATTTTTTGATTCTTACCAAATGACACTATAAATACTAATTATGAAAACAACTGACTAGGAGGCCAGGACTACCGGCTATGCTCTCAATGCGATACCAGAATATTTTGGCTTGTGGGAAATCTTCTTTACCTGCCATTCAATCGGTAGACAAAACGACAATTGATCAACAAATGAAAACTCCAAAAGACGTCGTGAAAAAARCAGGCTAAAACCATTGGTGAGTGATTAATTTTATTTGGATTCTACTAGATTAAATAGCGCCTATTTAGGAATTTTTTGATAAACTGACCTAGCAAAATGAAAATCGAATCCCAGCCCTAGATAGAAACAGTAATGACTTCGTAGTCACAGGATATACAATATTTTATACAACTTTTCAGTAAAATCAGACGTTTTGATTGGTTGGCTTTCGTGTGTTATCAAAGTATAGATACACGGATTACGTCAAAACTTAATTRTTTGTTGTATAAAACAGATAGATCTCATTTTTCCGTGCGTGTGTACTCTAATAGATACACAGATGACGTCAAAATGTAGTGAGAACAACAGTCACGCACTCGACTGCGTCTCGTGCGTACTTTTTGTTCTCACTACATTTTGACGTCATCTGTGTATCTATTAGAGTACACACGCACGGAAAAATGAGATCTATCTGTTTTATACAACAAACAATTAAGTTTTGACGTAATCCGTGTATCTATACTTTGATAACACACGAAAGCCAACCAATCAAAACGTCTGATTTTACTGAAAAGTTGTATAAACAATGTTAGCAGACGAAACACTGACGTATATATCATTAGTTGTTTTCCATCAAGTTCTATTGGCGGGTAGTATGGGAATCTGCACTCGCTTTGCGCAGAGGAGGGATGTTGAGAGTGACTGAGACCGTGATGATATGGAAACAGGACTAGAATTCATTTCGTAGCAGGCATTAAATGGTTTTCTCGTTGAGTCAAAGTAGAGTTCACAACAAGAGCACTGCAACCACTTAGGGACAGGATTCCAGCTGGTTGAAAATAAAACAAGCGTCACTTTGAATCAAATTTCTGATTGTCGTGCCCCGGGGGGGTACTCCCCCRAAACTAGCTTGCGTGTAGACCGAATTTTTACCCCATGAATTTTTATACAGCATCAATAATTCCGGAATTCAACCCTGACCCTGTTCCAGAGAAAATTCGTTGAAATCGATACCCTGTTCCAGAGTAAAATCGCTAAAATCGATACCCAGTTCCAGAGTAAAATCGCTGAAAACGATACCCTAGCTGGCGGCACGTCCCCGTATAGCGAATATAGGGGAGTAACCCCCCCGGGTGTCGTGCGCATTTTGTTATAATGGAACAAATGCTGGAATTTCAACTAATCGCTTGCTCAAAGTATTCTAATTACTCTAATCATGGTGAGAAAAAATAAAKGAAACATTCGGGGTGTGAATCAAATACAGCACTGATAAATAAAACATTAGTTTTGCAGGTGGGTCTGCAAGGTCAATCCCAATATCTAACAGCCAGCCCAGGTTAGGTATGTGTTGTTTTGGTGGTGATTGACAGCCGGCCCGTCCAACGATCCATCACATGATCTGTCCTGGCACAATTAATTCGGGTAGGTCTTTAGATAAAAAAAACGTGACTGACTTCTACCACGGCAACCATTGCGGATACGAACTAAAGTATATATTTTCATTTTCCAGGAAGATGCTTAAATTCTCAAAGACGTCATCAAAGACGTTTGTACATTTGAGTTTGATTGCTGGAATTGTAATTATCCTTTTATTGAGATATGATAGCACTCATGTATCATTTTATAAACTTCAAAGATGGATCCCGAGATTTGTAAAAAACTCAATCAGACGTTCTGTTGACGTCAAAGAGGAAATTGAAAATCACTTTCGGCTCCACTGGCGTCGAGAAAGAAAAGCGCGCACTGACTGGCGGGAGATGATAAAACCGTGTTTCCACAATATGGAATGGGGTCAAGTGAAACCTGGATGGGACAAGAATCAACGAAGCGACGCCTCCATGAGCTCAATCATCATTCAAGATCTCCGACCAGCAGGAGAATACAGTCGTTTGTTCATTGAAACTAAGACGAAAGATGGTCGATTGAAAG